GGCTTTCCATATTTTGTCGTGTGTTAGCCAAAATAATCATATCATTATTTGTGTCACAAGGGCAGAGCTGTTCTTCTGTATCATCTGAATTTTGTTCATATGAATCATATGATTCAATCTTCTTGGAATCTTTTGTTTCTTGTTCATTTTCTACCAGAAGAATTGGTATACTATTCTTTTGTCTATCTTGATTTACCCTTTAGAAGATTCATGAAGAGCTGAAACCATAAATACATTCCTCTAAAATGGCTAGTTTCTCATGTGACAGTGATTGTTGGGGAGATTGCTAATTTTGCAGCTTATGCATTTGCACCAGCTATTCTTGTCACTCCTCTGGGGGCACTTAATATCATTATCAGGCAAGCAAATGGCACTAATGACCATTGTCTCTTGATTTTTTTTCCATTCATGTTTGAATACTTATTTCTTAATTTTCTTGCAGTGCTGCTCTAGCACATATTATACTGTGTGAGAAATTAAATATTTTTGGGATTCTTGGTTGTGTGCTATGTGTTGTGGGTTCAATGACCATTTTTCTGCTTGCTTCTCAGGAATGTGAAATCAACTCTGTCAAAGAAGTATTGGATCTTGCCACAAAGCCAGGTATACTTTCCATGAGAAATAGCTTATAGCCATAGCATATAGTTGATGTTGAAGAGGAAGTTCTTCCCCCCCCTCACATTCCTTTTCTTTGATTTCTTCATTTTTCACTTAACCATTATAGTTGATGTCGAAGAGAAGTTTTTCTCTTGTAGCTTTTCTTTTGTATGCAGCTACTGTAATTGTGGCAGTATTTATACTTGTATTCCAATTTGTACCTCAATATGGTCAGACAAATGCGATGGTCTATACTAGCATTTGCTCACTCATGGGCTCACCATCAGTATGTTATTTGTTGTTGGCAGTTATGCTGTTCTTCAATCTGATTAATTTTCTGTGCTATTTTCTTCATGTTTTTTTATTTATGTATTCATTCATTCTCATTTATTGTTAACATTTTTGACAGGTTATGAGTGTTAAAGCACTTGAAATTGTTTTGAAGTTAACATTTTCAGGAATGAATCAGTTTAGCATATCCTCAAACTTGGGTTTTCGTCTTGGTGGTTCTTACCTGTGTGCTTACTCAAATGAACTATTTAAATAAGGTAATGATATCTATGATTTGAAAATTTAAGAGCATTCTACCTCATTTTTCGACTTTTGATTTATTCCAGTAAGTA